AACAACCAGAGCGGCGAAGAGCTGGCCGATACCCTGTTTGGGGAATGTGGGCACAGGCTTTTCGTCATACCCTGCAACGTCAATGCAATTCAATCTGCTCTCAGCCCCCTCAAGGGCAGACTGGCTTTCAGAGTTTCAAGGCCTTCGATAATAGTCAGGTGAATAGAACCTTCAAGCGGAGACTCTGCGTGCGCTGAATCTAGGAACTAGGGAATGGATCCCAGTACAAAGCCTGACGCCGAAGCCTGTTGTGATTCTTGGGTAGGGCTTGGAGTTGTACACCTTCAACGTCACGCATGGCCCGGCCCGAATCGATCGCAAAGGTTCAGTTGCTGTTGAATCTTTGTGGGAACTAAGCCTCCGAACGGCAAACCGCGGAAGTGAGCATGGAGTAGCTGACTTAGGTTTCACGAGTTGCTGTCCTGAGCACAGCCGCCAACTGCCACCATAGCAATGGCGCAGCCCAAGACAGACACTCCGGCATGGCCTCAAGAAGCTTTGAGCTTTGAGGAACAGGGCTCTGCTGCAATCATGCTTCACCTGGTGGGAACCTCGACAGCAAACTCTGAATCCCACACCCGATGGCTAGGCCCTATGGCTCATCTGGTGAAGTCCAAATGTCGACGAGCAATTCCCGACATGAATACACTTGGCACAATGGCTTGACAGCACCGCATACATTAGGGTCTGCTGTGAAGCGCGCATTGCTCATCGCACTTCCTGCAACGCCTGAAAACCACAACAAGTAAAAAACAAGTCCTCCTGCACTTGATAGCCTGCCGCCGAGCTGGCCTCAAATTGAGCAGCCCGAAACCTGGTACCCTACTACCGGAGGCAAGAAAATGTAGTTTTAGAATCCATTTCCGTTGATGCAAGCTGATTTAAGTAGGAGATCTCAGATAAGATGAGGCTCGCTTCGCCAGCGGCTCACCTGCCATTCCGCACATCAGAGTTTATGGACGGGTCTTGCTACAGATAGGCTTAGTTAGGGGCCACGACCATCCAAACAAATGGAGGTAAGAAGGGTAAGGATCGAGGGTCGGTCAAGGACTGGGAAAGGCAGGCAATGTAGACTAGCCCCCAAGTTATTCAGCATGATGCCTTGTCAGATTGTTAACGCACCGCTCGGAGAAACAACGGGCGGTAGTGCACAGGATTGGCCCTGGTGCTGCAGGTATCCGATGGGTGTATGATATCAACAACTCTCCAAGTTCCAACAAGTGAAACTGAGAAGCTCGCGCGACACAGACTGAACAAGGCACTGCCGGGGTCCGGGAGTCGGAGCAGCAGACCTTTGAGTCTCAAAGTCCAATGCGACCCAAACTACACATGCCAGAGCTGAAACAGTGCACAACAACCAAGCCGCCAAAATCTGAGGCAAGGCTCGAAACTATCTTCGTTGCTCTCCTACTAGTACGAACGGCCTGTTGCCGGTTTCCACATGAAACTCACAAGCTCGAAGCTTAAACCGAAACGCCCTGAGAGACCTTGCCTAGGCCGAGGGCCAATGGAGCTGCCACACGGGACTGGGACACCTGTCATCGGCATCCAACACCCCTAACATGCCTAAAGCTCCCACATACCAAAAAGAGCACGACTGACAACAGGGTCGGGTTTGAGGGGCCTCTCCGAGGCCTTGACCCCTTGACCTTGAAGCCCTGGAGCCGGGCGCATGCCACGAGCTTCGGGGACTGCCGAAAGGGTACACTCTCTCTGAACCGTCAGCAACAGCTACGGGGTCCTGAGGCACCATGTAAAGGGCGTTGTGGTCTAAGCCAAGTTCGAAGCGCTTCAAGGTGCTAAGACGTTGAGGTGTCTTCATTGTTAAGTGCCGGTGTAGACCCAAAAAGATGAAGACCCTGTCCCTGATCATTGCCTCGGCCGCCGGGGCAAGCGCACGTGTGAGCACCGATGCACCTGGCGTGTGGCAAGACACGTTGCGGATTTGATCATGTGCTCTTAGACTTTACAAGCGTTAAGCTGTTCATGCTGTTCCGTCCCTCCTGTCACAAACCTTTAAACCATGTTTCAGCAGTGTTGGTGCTGACCTACGCTCCTCACGTCATGCAGGGGATGGGCGCGGACGTCGGAGCAATTCTGAGACGACCTTCGGATTCGCAAGGTGTGGCGCAGGTCGGTGCAAAGCCTTGTCGGCATCTCCGCTCTCCATTCCAATAAGATTGCGGAGTTCCCCTCCATGCCCCAAGGCATTGTGGTGATCTCGGGATGAAAACTGGGGTGCAACAAGAGAAGATGCACATTCAGATCCTGTCGCATCCCGGAGGCTATCGAAACCCCGAGCTGGAGGGTTTGGGGCCCCGATAAAAGATTGCTGCAACTTCGTTGAAAGACTTCGGGTCGTCTCCCCCACGTCGAGTTGGCAGCCTGTTTCTCCCTCGGGCATCTTCGCGGATTGAGGTTTAGCTTAGGATGTTTCGCTTGGGGGCTATGTCCAGGACTGTCTTACGAACCCGAATGCCCACACACACCAACAGATCCGAAAATCCTCGAAAACGACCTGGAGCCACCGCGCGGAAGGCAGACACCTGTTCGAATGCATTGCGGCCTTGCTCTTCTGTTTCGTCTGCTTGCAATCAGACTTGATTGTGGCATTATGTGTCTGGTTTGGGTGCTTGAGCTTCGACAACAAGCTCCTGAGCCTCTAGTTCCCTGAGGAAGCCTGAAGCCTATAGATTCCAGTGTGCTCTTATGTGAAAATTGCGAGGCATTTACTGAAACTCTCCGAAACGGCGGAGCCCACCAGAACGTAAGGGAAACACTGCTTCGCACTGCCACACGACCCGTTTAACCCAGGAGCCTGGGAGACGGAGCGGACGGCCTGCTTAAGAAGAGCCATTGTGTTCCTGGCGTGTTGCGGGTAGGCCCTTTTTATTGTTATGTTGGACCTTAGGATTGGGGTTGAAGTCTTCGAGAATGCGGGCCTTGACATTCGGACTGTGTTTGGAATTGTGGTTGAAAGTCTTCAGCGCTGGTGACCCCTGCTGCTGACGAAGGTTGGATATGGCATAGGTGTTTAGAAAGCACATGCAAAACCATTCCGGCGGTGGCTGTACTCAAATCACAACTTCCGAACCCAAGACCGGGCATTCTTTTCAGAAATGCTGACTCAGTTGATTTCACGGCTGAGCCTCCTTCACCCTGCATGTTGAAAAGCCTCAGCCCCATCCTAACACTTCGGTCATAGGGCATTGGGGCCAAACCGTGAGCACTGCAGATCTTTCAGCCTGAAAGTTTGCACAGCCTGCAGGATAGAGTCAGCAGCAACTGCGGGCGCCAAATGCCAAGGGCCGGGAGCCAGACTAGCGGCAGTCACAACCGTGAACCCGTGTGTGCCGAGTGACCCACGAGCCAGTGTCTGGTGTGTCGCATGGTGAAGGCCACATGCATGATTTCGCATCAACCCTGTCCTTCAAACCCAATTGCAATTAAACCGCACTCGCCGCTCTTCAGCCGGCAGAAACTGTTCGCGGGAGCGCTGTAATTTGTGGCGCGGCTCCGTGCGGGCATCGGAAATTCCCCCAAAGAGTAGAGTCTGACACATGTAGTTCCCCAGATAGCTTTAGCTACAGTAGTAGGGGTTATAGCTAAATAAGGGGCCGCGCTGTGTCCACCGCCGCCGCTGGGGGTGCTGCGGCATGCAGTTGGCATGCAGGTGGGGCGCGCCAAGACGTTTTCAACTGCAAAACCGATGGCAACCTATGCTATTTCACCGTGCACATACTTGATGACCCGAAACTCCTCAAGCAAAACTTATAAGCTTTCAAGCATTCTCAGTAGAAGATATCCCAGTCCTAGAAGTGCTTAAACAGGGCTCGCCAAAAGAGCGAGGCCTTTATCACAATCTAGGGTCGTTTTGCTGGCAAATTTATCA